AAAAACTAAGGAAATCTAAATAAAGTATGGACTGTAACTAACAATAATTTATCAATGTTTGTTTCTTAATTGTGACAAACCAAACATATGATGTTAATAGAGGAAACTGGGTGGGTGGTATATGAAAACTCTCTGTACTATCATCACAATTTTGTTGTAAATCTAAAACTATTCTAAAATAAAAAGGGTGTTTTATTTTATTTATTTTCTATTTTTTAAAATTTACATCCAAATTAGTTAGCATATAGTGCAACAATGATTTCAGGAGTAGATTCTTCAGTGCCCCTTACCCATTCAGCCCATCCCCCCTCCCACACCCCCTCCAGTAACCCTTAGTTTGTTGTCCGTATTTATGAGTCTCTTGTGTTTTGCCCCCCTCCCTGTTTTTATATTATTTTTGCTTCCTTACCCTTATGTTCAACTGTTCTGTCTTAAAGTCCTCATATGATTGAGGCCATATGATATTTGTCTTTCTCTAATTTCGCTTAGCATAATACCCTCCAGTTCCATCCACATAGTTGCAAATGGCCAGATTTCACTCTTTTTGATTGCCAAGTAATACTCCATTGTGTGTGTGTGTATATATATATATATATATATACACACACACACACACACATACATACCACATCTTCTTTATCCACTCATCCATCAATGGACATTTGGGCTCTTTCCATACTTTGGCTATTGTCGATTGTGCTGCTATAAACATGGGGGTGCATGTGTCCCTTCAAAACAGCACACCTATATCCTGTGGATAAATGCTTGGTAGTGCAACTGCTGGGTCGTAGGGTAAAAGGTTGTTTGTTGTTGTTGTTGTTGTTGTTGTTTTTAAGTAACATTAAAAAAATAAGCCACCAGGCAGTCAAACTCACTGTGATGGTCATCGTGGTCACTCCAGAGCCAACACCTGCAATTCCTGACCCATCTCCCACCTCCGGCCTGGTGGATGGCCAGAACACAGATACTCATGTCCTTCAACAGGTCACTAGGCATACCACCCTGGTGAGAGCTCAAAACGCTGCTCCTGGATAATACCTCTGCCAGAAAAACAACAGGGTACAGCATCTTCCAGGACGCAATGAATACAGAGCATCCCATCACAGGGACCTGAAGAGAAATCCAGCAAGTTCCTGAGTTCAAAGGCTACACACGGTGGCATGTATATTATACAACCTGAAGACAGTTTCCCGTAAGACAAAGAGGACAGGTAAATGACTAAGAAACTTGCAAACTACATCTCGTTCATGGAAGGAGGAATGAGCAAGTAGAGAGCTGGGCCAACACTGAAGCTATCTATACCTTCCACAGAGAAGGCAGCATGGGGGGCAGAGTTTAAATGGGGTATTAAACAAAACCTATTCACCAATGTTGCTTATGGACTAACAGAACTCTACCCCCTTCCTCCTCCATCTCAGACCCAAAGAACATTATTCTCCAAGAGAGAAACATTAATTGGATGAAAAACAGAAGAGCTGAGTTAGTCACAGAGCAGGAGAAATCAAACAGGAGAAAACAGAGAAATAGAAAGGGATTGAGAGCAAGAAAGTAGTCGTGCAAAATGAGTGATGAGATGGAAGCTATTATATGGAACAGGATATTAATTACACTCGCTTGGCTATTAGAAGCCACAGTGACAGGAAGCTTGGACCAGGGTATCATTTGGGCTGAAGAGAAGGAGGGGCCAAGTTAAAGCCGCATTTAAAACATTCCTTAATAAGCACCACCTGAGGACTCTGGTGCCCTGACCTGAAAGCCAGAGTCTCCTTTCCTCCCCAACCATACTCTTCACAGCTGTTCCGTTCTTATAAACACTTGTCCCTCTGACAGGCCCTGAGGTCTCAGACACCTTAGACTATCACCTGCTAGAGCCCAGGCTGTCACTACCCTGCTTCGATCTGGACCCATTGCTGCCAAAGCCCTAAGCCATTCGGCTGCAGGCGATGTCTGCCAGGCAGTGACACAGATTCAACCCCAAGACCCACCAAACACCCAGGCAACAGCTCCCCAGACCCTCTCCCAGCTTCCTCCACAGCAACTGTATTTTCACATTTCCATGATTTTTTATTTTAAATTAATGTCTGTCTCCCCTATCAGACTATAAAATCCATGAGATCAGGAACTATACCGGGTTTTGCTCACCATTTTACCCCCAGTTCCCTACAGCATATGTGACAGTGCGATTGTTTCTGGAATGAATGAATGAATGAATGGAGACTCCTTCACCCACAGTAATCTGACACCTCCAGAAGGAAAAAGAAGTACATTTCAATTCTGAATGGCTAGCACAGAATTTAATCCTGGAATCCGTTTACCCATAGAAATGGCAGTATAAATAGTGGTTAGATGTCTGGTGCTATCAAACTAGATACATAATTAATAGTACAGTAATAAATGATACCAATCATTCCTTGAACATTTACCAAGCATCAAGTACTACACTAAGCACTTTTAATACATTATTCAGCAACCCTGCCAGGGAGGTTATTACTTATTACCATTTATAGGTGAGGCAACTGAGGCTCAGAGAGGATGAATCACTTACCCAAGGTCACCCAGATAGCTGTGTCACAGCCAGAAGTCACCTAGAGCTATCTGACTCCAAAGCTCACTGTCTTCATGACTCCGGATTTTGACCACCTAACAAGTACAACAGATGTTGGTTGGGGGCCTAGAACCTCTAAGCACCATTTATGACACTAAATCCCCAGGACAAAGCATTCTAGCTCCAGACAATCAACGAATTGCAAAATAAACATCTAGAACTCATCTGGGTGATAGGTCGAGGACCATCTGCAGAAGATCACGAGGAGAAGAGAGGCTGAGGCTGCGGTTGCCGGGACCGTGCCTAGAGAACAGCAAGGAGCATCTCTGTGTGCGCCCCAGCAGTAGAGACGAGACGACGTCCCAGGTCACACTGACAGCAGGCATCTCCAAGAGCAAGCACTCACCCAGAAGGCCTTCCCAAATATCTCCAGTTCAAGCCAGAGAGAAGATGGCTGGCCGACCGCTACGGGCCCAGACAGCAAGGAGGCCATGTTAAGAGCAGGGAAGAGGGCTAGGGTACAAGAGGATGCTGACTTAGTGGAAAAGGAAAGCAGAATGCTAAGTGCTGTCTGGAATTCTAAGGGGAAAATAGGAATATTCTCACCACCTCTTTAAGGGACAATAGAGGAGCCCTGGGAACAGAAACATCTCCCCACCCATAAGAGAGAGACTGGGCAGGCCCTGCCATGAACTCTGGCCCATGGAAAGTGATGATGGGTTTCCACTCCAAAATATGAAGAGTTTGGATGCTGTCACTCCCATAATTAACAAACTGAAAAAGGGTTGGCCACTTCATGGGGCCACCATAGGGATTAAATGAAATCCTCAGTGTAGAAGCACTTTTTCAACTGTAGTACATTAAAGAAAAAGAAGGCACCAAAACCCACTTTCTGTCTTTTTTTTTTTTTTTTTTAACCTCTGGTATTTAAAGACTAGGAAAACATGGCAACTGTTCAGTCTCAGAAAGTAGGTGGACTCACCACACAGAGGCTCTCGAGCAGACACCAACACTTAGGGAAGAAGTGGCCATCTGGAAGCCCACACAGGGCTGGCTGGGAGAGAATCATGAGGGACTGGCCTTATTCCTTTTCTGGCAGGGCTGTATGCTGGGAGGCCAAGAACTGATCCTGCAGCCAGATTTCTAAAAGGCACCTTAAGATTTCTCTTGGAGTCTTTGGTAAGTCCGTGGAGACATTTACCAAGAACCCACCCCATGGAGGGTTCATGCTGGGCCCTGAGTCAGACAACAGCAATGAACAAAGTGTCAAGGCAGGAATGGTCCACACTGCCTCCAACGTGGGCACAAGGAGCAGGTGGGGAGCTCATGACTGCAAGAGGACAGTCAGCATGGAAAAGACTTTAAAGAAGGCACTTGCAGGTGAGTGGCTTAGAACAACACACGTTGATTTTTACTGTAACGGAGGTCAGAAGTCTCACTAGGCTAAGGTCTAGGTGTCATTAGTGTCGCATTCTTCCTGGAGGTTTTAGGGGAAAATCTATTCCCTCACCTTTTCCAGCTTCTAGAAGCTGACTGCACTGCTTAGCTCTTTGGTCCCTTCCTCCATCTTCAAAGCCAGTAGGGTAGCATTTTCTGACTCTGCTTCCTCCATCAGGAGCCTGCTCTGATTTCCGAGGGGGGAGTGCCTTCCTTATGGGAACATGTGATGACCACGGGCCCAGCTGGCGAATCCAAGAGAACCGCCCCATCTCAAGATCCTTATTTTAATCACATCCCTTTTGCTATGTAAGGTGACATATTCATCGGTTTCAGAATTAAGAGGTAGATATCTTGGGAGGAGGACATTATTCTGCCTGCCACATAAGTCAGTCTCCAGGGGAGAAGGAAAAAAAAAAAGTAAACATTCAGAAAGAATCAGGGATGATATCTTTTTTCAGCTTCCCCACTTCTGATTTCCTGAGGCTGCTGCCTCCTGCCCTTGGGTTCCTTAAGATACCACTCATTCGTTCTGTCAACTGCCCCAGAAGATTCTTCACTATGCCTTTGCCCCAAACCACACACCCAGTAGGTGGTAGACAGGAGATTTACACCCTAAAGCCCATGCCCTGAACCACGAAAACCACAGAAGCCCAGGAAACACAGGCAGTGAGTTCAGAGTTAAGGGGCCAAACAGATCAGCAGACTGGACAATGGGTGAGGCCCAAGAAAATGAAGTTTAACAAGGAGAATCAAAGGCCCTGAAGAAACCAATTGTTTGACTCCAAGATGATAAGGCACAGGAGCAAATCTTGTTTTTTTAAGAAAAAAGACTTGGGAGGCGCCTGGGTGGCTCAGTCGGTTGAGCATCCTACTTCAGCTCAGGTCATGATCTCACACTCCTGAGTTTGAGCCCTGCGTTGGGCTCTGTGCTAATAGCTCAGAGCCTGGAGCCCGCTTCGGATTCTGTGCCTCCCTCTCTCTCTGCCCCTCCCCTGCTCGTGCTCTGTCCCTCTCTGTCTCAAAAATAAATAAAAACATTAAAAAAAAAATTTTTTTTTTTTAAAGAAAAAAGACTTGGGTCGTAGCTGAGAACAAATTTGCTGTGAGACAGATGATGGTCAATGACCACAGTGATCTCTGGAAACTAAACATCCAGATTCAGCAGGGCAGGGCAATTAACCACATTGCAGACTCCCTGGAAATCAACAACAAGTACCCCCAACTATCTCAGAAGTGTATCTTCAGCCCAAGCACACAGCCTCCAGGGAACACGCAGGGAGTCTTGGGGACAAAAGAGCCACCAGTCCAGCAGCCACAATAGCCAAATGGACCCTGCTGATCAGTGCTGTCGCTGGTGAGTTAGGGAGCCCCCTCTGCTTGGGGCTATCAGCAAGAGTCTGGTTTGAGTGGACAGGATGATTTCAGGACCCAGAAGCTAAGAGAAGGCACTGGGTACAGAGGAGGGGAACAGAGCTGAGAACAGGATATATTGTCATGAAACAGAAATACCAGAAGGGCTGCCATTTGAAAAGGGATTAAACTTGCCCTGCATGGCTCCAAAGGTTAGAACAAGGAATCATGAGTAAATGTGCCAGGGACACAAATTCCAATTCGATCTAAGGGAAGGAAGGTTTTCTAACAGTCAGAGACACCTAAAGCTAAACCAGGCTGTTTTGGTAGACAGTTGAGTCTCCCGTCAGTGGAGGAAGGCAAACAGGCAGGTTTGAGAAGGGACTCCGGGGTCAGCCCTTCAGAACCTGCAGGTTCTTCCAAATCTGGGAGCCAATGATTTCATCTCCTATTTACTCGTAACAATCATCCACTTACATATACTGAGAAAATATCAAGGTGATCGGCACCAGAGATAACAAGTACAGAGGTAAGAACGGCCCAAACAGTGCTGAGAAGGGAAGAAGATGAGAGAACAACCAAAGAGCAGAGTTTTCTCCAGATCTCATCCCCCACTAAGTCCCTTGACTGGAGGGAAGCCACTCCTGCCTGCAGCTGGGGGTGGGTGCTCTGGCTCGCCCAACACATCCACTCAGGGACTCCAGCCTACACAAGAAGTGAATGAGAATTACTTCAGGCACATCCTCGACGTCAGGACATACTTGTGTCATATTCTGACATGGAGAAAAACACTGACAAGAGCACCATCCAGTATGGTAGAAATTTGATACATGTTAGTAAACTCCTTCAAAAGTTGGCCTGTGGTACAGTGCTCATTTTTGTTCTCTCAACTGTTACAGCTTATTTTCAGACTCCTGTATCAAAATACAAAAACTACAGATGTCTTAACATCTTCAAGTAAATCTGATTTTCTCCACTGAATCTGAAAAGACACAAACATGATAAACTTCACTCTTTGTAAGAAAAGGACCGCATTTTATCTTTTTAGCAAAGGAGAGAAGACACTAAAGTCACACAAGAGTATTGCGTTTAATACAAGAATTAAAAGGCACCCTCATAAGCCATGACAAAATTAGGAAGCAGAGGCTTAATATTTTGAAAAAGCAGTTTTGGTAGGTTCTATTTACAGTTTCTCTAGTAGTTAACAAGATTTTTTGCAGGTCTTTAACAAATAATATAGCAACAGACATATTTAGAGTGTATTTATTTTTTCTTCTCTTTCAATCATTATTATTGAGCCTCCTCATTCCAACCCTCCAACCCCAAAGCACACACATGGATGTACATGTACACATGCATACACACTCTCACAGGCACTATGCAGACATCATGAGAAAGAGAGAGGAAGTGATAAGAAGCCTCCACAACCCCCCCCCCCCATCTATTAGCCAAAGCAGGTACAGGGAGTACAAGAGAAAGAAGGTGGCTATCTGCCCAAGGGATCAAGTGTCATTCAGGTGATAAACAGAAAGCCAGGGTTCCTGCCCAGTGGTGATACAGACATGTCCCATATCAACAAAGGAAACAGACTGACAATTTACTGAGTGCCTACCACGAACCAGGCACTACTTAGGGCACTCTACTTAGGTTCACATCTAACCTGACATTCTGCTCAAATGGGAAAACTTGACTCCCAAGATGGCAGACCTACTAGGCTCCATCCTGAACTCCATGGAGAAGTCACCCAGTCTCAGTGACCGGGAGTCTCGGCACAAGGCCCAAGAGCAGGTCGCTCGCCTGAAGAAACTACAGGAGCAGGAGAAACAACAGAAAGTGGAGTTTCATAAAGGATGGAGAAAGAGATGTCAGATTTCATCCAAGACAGTGGGCAGATTAAGAAAAAGTTTCAGCCAATGAACGAGATAGAGAGGAGCACCCTACACAATATGGCAGAAGTGGCTGGCCTGACATCCTTCTCCTTCAGAGATGATGAGTGTCTCTATGTCATGATCTTCAAAAAGGAGTTTGCATGCTCAGATGAAGAGCTGGACTCCTATCATTATGGGGAGGAGTGGAACCCCCAGGAGGCTGAGGAGAAACCCCAACTGAAGGAGCTGGCCCAGTGGCAAGAGGACACAGCCCAGCAGGGACCTGTGGTGGGGAGCCCTGCTAGTGACGACAAGGACAAGTACAGCCGCTTAACAGGCAAGGCAGCAGCCAAGGATGCTACAGGCCACATGCTACAGGCCAACAAGACCTACAGCTGTGTGCCCATGGCCAACAAGAGGGACATGTGTTCCATCAAAGAGGCCGTGAATGAGATCCAGGCCAAGAAGGATCCGCAACAGAGCAGGGAAGAGTTGCCACCTAACCTCCCAGACACTCCAGCTCTCTGAGGTATGGCAGCGGGGGGGGGGGGGGGGGGGGGG